GTCTCTGTGAGTTTGAGTCTAGCCAGGTCTACAGAGTGAGTTCCAGGTCAGCCAGGGCTACACAGAGAAACCCTGTCTCAAAATAAATAAATAAATAAATAAATATTTATTTATTTTGGTGTGTGTGTGCGCGCGCGCTCACAGAGGCCCACAGAGGCCAGAAGACACTGGATTCTTTGGAGCTGGAGTTACAGGTAGTTGTAAGTGGACTGACACGGGTACTGAGACCTGAACTCGACTCCTTTGGGGTAGAAAATGATCATAGCCATTGAGCCATCTCTCCAGCCAGCCGCTCTCCCTTCTTCCTGAATGCTACGTCATCTGGAAGCCTGTCTGCCCCCAAGAAAGGCCACACTTCTTAGCATACAGGACAGCCAGCTGGCCTTGTGACTAATCCCACCCAATTGTCTTTAAGCACAAGTTGAACGTGCAACTTCTAAAATTACCAAGTTTAATATGGAACCCACAAGCCACAAGTGGTTATGTAAAGTAGCATAATCGATAACTCCATTTTTGTTTGGGGGGTTTTGTTGTTGTTGTTGTTGCTTTGTTTTTGTTTGTGCTTTGTTGTTACCGTCTTTTCAAGACAGGGTTTCTCTGTGTAGCCCTGGCTGCCCTGAAAGTCTCTGTAGACTAGGCGGTCCTTGAACTCAGAGATCTTCCTGCCTCTGCCTCTTGAGTGCTGTTTTTAATTCATTACTTTTGTGTTTGTGTGTGTGTGTGTGTTTGCATGAGTTCATATGCACCACATGCATGTAGGAGTCCACAGAGGCTCACAGAGAGTATTGTATCCCCTGGAACTGGAGTTACAGATGCTTGTGAGCCATTTTGTGGGATGCTGGGAATTGAACCTGGTTCTCTTGAAAGAGCAGTGGGTGTTTTTAACCACTTAGCCACCTCTCCAGTCTCCCACCCTTTTTATTGAGACAGCGTCTGACTATGCGGCTCAGGCTGGCCTAGAACTCTCATCTATGTAACTTAGGTTGGCCTTGAACTTGTGATTGTTCTGTCTTTGCCGAGTCCCCCCTCTCCGCACCCCAGTGCTGGGATTAACAGTCATGAGTCAATATACCTGACTGTAACTCAACTTTAATATGGTCAATGGCTACCATGTTTGGCAGCACAGCTTGGGCCATTTCCTTCAAAGTAAAATACTTGGGCCAAATCCTTCAAGACAGAGGCTGTACTCATCTGCCCCTCTCCCCTTATAAAGGCAGGGTCATATGTAGCCCAGGTTTGCCTTGAACTCCTTCTGGAGCTAAGGCTTCTTTGAGTTCCTGAGCCTCCTGCCTCTACTTTGCTCAGATTACAGGCTTACAAGACCTTGCCTAGTTCCTCTCTCTCTCTCTCTCCTTGTGCTAAAATATTTATTGTTATTTTTATGTGTGTGAGTGTGTGTACCACGGGTGTGCCCGTGGAGGTCAGAAGAAGGCATTGGATCCCCTGGAATTGGAGTTATAAGTGGTTATGAACTGCCATGTGGGCGCAAGGAAAGGAACCCAGGACCCCTGCAAGGGCAGTAAGTGCTCTTAAGCTCTGAGCCATCCCCATCTGCCCAAAACACACACACACACACACACACACACACACACACACACACACCTTCTTGCTGTCTGGAATGCACACACAAGGTTTGGAGTGCCTGCAGCCATGGGCAAGCATGGAACACAGAAATATTGTGGGCCCCTGATTTCATAAGCAGAAAGTTGCCCTTCCACCCTGAGTATACCTAGGGCCCTAAAGGGAAAGAAAGTAACTTCCTTGTTAGCTATTATTATGGGTTTTCTTCCCGCTCAGTTACCCTAACTCATAAAGCCAGGTTTCCCCTGGACGGAAATGCCACTCGACCCTCCAGCCTTCCAGGCTCCCTCTTGGAACCCCACTGGAGACCCTGCCACCCTGTGGGGAGGAGCCCCCGCCACACACACCTGCATCTTTTGGCAGTCGGGGAAGTCCCCAGGGGAGATGTGATGCTCCAGCTGGATCTTGGCAAAGATGACAGGCAGCTTGAGGATCAGCTGCTTCTTTTTGTTTTCCTTCCCGAACACCGAGGGCATCTCTTTCTTCAGGTAGCTGATGATGTAAGCGTGCACCTGCAGAAGGACACCAGGAGGAGACGGGGCTGGGCAGGGCCTGGGGACCTGCATTCCTTTCACACTGGCCCGGAACACCTGATCCTCCTGGGTCTGCCTCCTGAGTGCTGGGATAACAGGCGTGAGCCACTATGCACAGCTTTTCTCCCAGGCTTTTGATACAAGGTTGCACTGTGTACCTCAGGCTGGATTCAGACTTACAGCCTCTTCAATGCTGAGATTGCAGCTGTAAGCCCTCATGCCTGCCTGGAGCCTCCTTTTCTAATATGTTACAGGCAGGTGAACCCCAGCGTATTATCCAGTGGGGTTCAACCTAAGCTTCCCCTCTCTGCTAAGCCATGGCAGCCACTCCCAGCTCTAAGCTCCCACAAGCTGGCCTCACCCAAATACCAGCCCTGAGCTGGGACTTGCCTATCTCCTGTCACATTCCTACCGGGCTCCACAGCCTCACGCTCTCCAAGGCACTTGGGCTCAGCCCAGAGTGAGTTGCCCTTAGCTGTGCCTAGCTCTTGAAAGGGATGGCCAAGCTCTGCCCACCCCCACGGGAAGCCAGAAACTGGACACTCTGGTTCCTTATGTAGTCCAGTTGGACTCAAAACTAGCAGGCCCCCCTGCCTCCACCTCCCAAATGGCTGACGGTAGAAAGACCTCAATTTGTTGTCTGCATTTTAAAACTTTTAAATGTGTGCGGGTGTTTTGTGTCTGAGCACCACGTGTGTACAGTGCCAGAAGAGGGCATCAGATCCACCGATAGCGTTAGAGATGGTTGTAAGCGGCCATGTGGGTGCTGGGAACCAAACCTGGATCCTCTAGAAGAGCAGCTAGAGCTCTTAACTGCTGAGCATCAGCGGGGCATTGGTGGCACACGCCTTTAATCCCAGCCCTCGGAAGGCAGAGGCAGGAGGATCTCTGTGAGTTCGAGACCAGCCTGGTCTACAAGAGCTAGTTCCAGGACAGTCTCCAAAGCCACAGAGAAACCCTGTCTCAAAAAAAATAAATAAATAAAACAAACAGAAAGAACCCCAAAACAGCTGAGCATCCCTCCAGCCATGCCTTCATAATTCTGACGGACAGCTTCACACTCTCCCATCTTTCCCTTCCAAATGCTGCTCACTAGCACTCCTTAGTGACCAGCACACCAACCTTTCCCCCAACCCAGGGCCTTTGCACGTGGTCACTATCTCTACCAGAGCTCTATCCTTGAAAACCAAGCGCCCTTATCACTGCCATCTGGTTATCTCTAGCCTTTCCGTCTTCTTCACAGCTGAGCTGGAGTCATCAATTATTTTATCTGACCATTCTGTTTCCCTCCTTCAAACTACAAGACTTGCCAGGTCAAGCCTTGTCTGTTTCCTCTGTCTGTAGTCCCGGGACAATATGCTCGGTGTCACTCAGGAAATCGTTGTGGGATAAACCACTGAACTTGAGAACCTTTGAATTATTGAGAAATAAATGAGGAGGGTAGGATGATAACCGGTGTCTATAGGCAGCTCCATCATTGAATATCATGCTCAGATGGAGATAAAGATAAGGCCAGTGATAGGGATTGGGCAGGGGTAAAGGCACTTGCGGCTGCCGACCCTGAGTTGGGTCCCTGGGACCCACGTGGTGGAAGGAGAGAACTGACCTACCCTGTCCTCTGGCCTCACTATATAGAATGTGGCATGTGGCTGGGCGTTGGCGTGCACGCCTTTAATCCCAGCACGCGGGAGACAGAGGCAGGCGGATCTCTGGGAGTTCGAGGCCAGCCTGGTCTCCAGTGCGAGTGCCAGGACAGCCTCCAAAGCTATGCAGAGAAAACCTGTCTCAAAAAAACAAAACAAAACAAAAAAAAGTTTAAAACAATGTAGCATGTGAATGCTTGCACACACATCATGCTCACACACGATAAAATAAAACAAGCACCAAGAGTAACGAAAGAATCGACTCTTCCCAGGTCCCAGCCACAAGCACTACAGCATTCTGGAATCACCCCTTCCTGTGGCTTACACCTCCATGGCAGAGACAGAGCAATCATCCACACACTGCCTCCTTGTACAGATAGGAAACGGAGCTAACGGGGTGGCTTACGGAGAACCCGTAATGAGCAGCTTCTTGGCCTTTTCAAGTACATTTTTCTGACTGTCCTTAACAGCCTTGTGCCACCGAAGGAGCGCATTCAAGGGCGGTTAGAGCCACGTGCGCTGTTATTGGTGACTGGACCAAACGTGTCTGGGTCATTTGGGAGGGGTGTGTGGGCGAGGATTGTGCCCACCCGAAGTGGATGGCATAATGAAGTTTGGTCAGAGCCAACCCTGAAGATGAGGATCCCGGGCACTGAGGCACTGGGAGACTTAGCATGAGTTTTCAGGACCAGAGGGAAGCATAGCCTACGGTTTTGAGAGGCCAATCAGAGTAGGGGTGTGCGATCAGGATGAAAGTCACCGCCTGCTACCCGGAGTCAATGGAGAAGATTCAGGCTTGAACAGAGAAAACCCACTAAGGAAGAGCAGGGCTTGCCGGGAGAGGCAGGGAGGAGAGGGTCCGAAACGGATGGTCAGTGGGGAAGAGTAGGATTTGAGACACCAGGTCACTAGGGAACGACGGGTGCCCGCCAGGGAGGGCCTGCGGGGATTCAGACAGTGAGAATGGCCCAGTGGGCAGGAGGTGTAGCCTGCCAGAGTGAGTTAGTGGGGAGGCATTGACCCGAGAGGTCAAGTAAGGAGGGGCGTAGCCTGAGGATGGTCTACTGGGAGGTGTGTGGCCTGTCTGGCCAAAGCAACTGTGGCTTGCTGTGCCTGTTGTGGAGGGCCCATGAAAAGGGCAGTGACCTCGGAGGGGACCGACCAGCGTGAAGAGGTATGGCCTGCGAGGGCGAGCAATGGGAGAGGCGTGGCTTGTCCGCTACTCCAGGGGAGTGGCCCAAAGGAGAGGGGCGAGGTCTGCGAGGACCGTAGCGTTGATGGCTTTTCCAGGGAGGAAGTATGGAAAGGTGGCAGGAAGAGATAAGGGGGCGGCTCGGGCTGGGCCGGGGAGCGGGTCGGACTCCGGAAGACAGAGAAGACTAGGAAAAGGGTATGAACAAGAGAAGAGAACAGGGAAAGGAAGAGGTTGATGGGGACACACTGACCAAAGGACAGCCCTGGCCTCCTGGACTAGGTGCCTTGGATACCCAGTACACCCCTCTAAAGAGAATTCCTGCGGTGGGTTTGGAGGCGGTGATTCACTCCTCTCCAGCTCCTTTAAACCACACCTCGGATGCCTCCACCACCTAGAACCTTCGTGGCCTCTGCTCCTGCCAGCTTCCTGCCCCACCTCCACCCTGGTGGCCTCCCCTGTGAATGCTCCATTCCATCTCTGGCTCTGAAAGCAAAGCCCTTGCTTGCCCTCTTCTTCCTCTCCGAGGCCCAGCCTGAAACAGGCCGTGTCCTCCAGCCCCCTCAGACCTTCCTAGCCCTGACTGAATCCGCTCTCCAGAAGGCAGCTTGAGCGCATCCCTGTCATCCTGCTCCAAACCTTCCCATGTCTCCCTGGTGCCCTTAAAATAAAGCACAAGAGCCTTGATGTAGCCCATAGGATTGGCAGTCTTGAGTCTCACCATGTTCCCTCCTAATGCCCTCTCCTCTGAGAAGCCTTCCTGACTCCGCCCCTGAGACTGGACTTTCCTTGGCTATCACAGCTGTGGGATGGGTCTGTCTTCTCCCCCAGCAAAAGGCGTGTCCTCAGACTGCCCCCCTCTTGGACTTCAGACCTGGAGCCCCACTGGGAAAAAGCAAGAACAGCCTTGGCCATGGCTGCACCCGGAGCATGTCCCAGCAGAAGGCTAGGCACAGAGGTGACTTTGTTCAAGCTGAAGTTCTGCCGAGTATCATTCATTCCATAAATATTTACAGAGCAATTCAGTCCCAGGAGCTAGGGACACTCAATGAAGGAATTCTAAGATGCCAGGTTCTGCAGAGCTTGAGTACAGAGTTGAGTACAGAGAGAGTAAACAGGGGGCCCCTGACAGGCTCACACAAGGTTTGGACACTGAAGGGGTCACAACAGGGTAAGGGGTACATCTGGAGTAGGTATGCTCATTAAGAGGCAGCCACCTAGCCAGGCATTGGTGGCTCACGCCTTTAATCCCAGCACTCAGGAGGCAGAGGCAGGCCGATCTCTGTGAGTTTGAGGCCAGGCTGGTCTACAGAGCGAGTTCCAGGATAGGCTCCAAAGCAACAGAGGAACCCTGTCTCAAAAAAAAAAAAAAAAAAAAAAAAAAAAAAACAACAAAACAAAAACAAAAAAAAAGAGGCAGGCATCTGCCAGGTGCTCACCTTTAACCCAAGCACTTGGGAGGCAGAGGCAGGCAGATCTCTGTGAATTCAAGGCCAGCCTGGTCTACAAAGCAAGTTCCAGGACAGCCAGGGATGTTACACAAAAAAACCCTGTTTAAAAAAAAAAAAAAAAAAAGTGGCACCTTCCTGAGAAGATGACATCTGAGTGAGCCATATGAGCAGTCAGGGGAAGAGAAGGCTGCCAGGAAGAGCAAACAGTGAGTACAAAGGCCCTGAAGTAGGCCTAAGGTGGCCAGCGTGTAGAGCAATGGTTGGTGGAAAGGGAGTGATTTGGATGAGAGAGACTCTCATAGACTCGTGTATTTGACTACTCGGTCCCCAGTTTGTAGAACTCTTTGGGAAGGATTAAGAGGTGTGGCCTTGTTGGAGTAGGTTTGCCATTAAGGGTGGGTTTTGAGGTTTAAAAGGGCTACACCATTCCTAGTTTGCTCTGTTGGTGCCTTGTGCCGGGCATAAGCTCTCAGCTATTGCTCCAGCACCATGCCTGCCTGCCTGCCTGCCTGCCTGCCAGGATGGTCATGGACTCTAACCCTCTGGAACCATGAGCACCAATAACTTTTCTTTTATAAGTTGCCTCGGTTACGGTGTCTCTTCACAGCTGTAGAAAAGTAACTAAGACAGCCACCGAGAGGACTCAGCTTTTGTTCAGTGAGATGGAAGGAGGGAGAGGAGGCCAGCGATAGGATGGAGACAGACAGGGAAACACGCGAACTCGAGGCAATGGTGGAAAAGGGACCCTCCGCACAGGCCGCCTCCATCCCACGCTGCACCAGATCAAACCATCAGGAGAAATCAACTATTCTGGGAGCTAGGTGATGCCTAACTAGCTGCACGAGTAGAGAAGAAAGAAAAGGCTGCCCCACGTCTTCAAGGCCACATGAGTTTAGGTCACCTGTGACTCCATG